TATAAAATATTTCAATATGAGTTCCGTTTGCCTTTGAGTTTTGTGTAGAGCAAACAAATTTCGATTCGATTTGCCGTCGAGTTTTTCAGGTTTCTCTAGAGAAGTTTTTATTAAAAGCGAATGCTCTTTCAAACTCAGTGCACGAAGGCGAGCAAATAAAACTTTATCTTTTTTAATATCGACTGGGGGAAGTTTGTAACGGGCGGTGGGCTGAGGCGGGGGCAGTGGGCGTCATATTTTTAGCAGCCACTGTTGAATTTGTATAAGCAACTAGCGTAAAGTTCGAAATATGCAAAGGAGCAACTGGCGCGCCAATTGGCCAGGGAATTAGTGGAGGAAGGCGGGCTGGATGGGAGGCATCTGGTTGACTAACTGACTGTAGTACAGCGTCTGTTCGAATGAAAATATATATCAAAATATGTATGTATGWGTAAAAAGTTTAGTTAGCTGGGAGTTGGCTGTCGACTCAATATGAAATTTCAACTGTCCAAATGCTGTTACTGCATCGATCTGCGTCTTGGCTGCTTTCTGGTTGTATTCTTCGACATCTTAATGCATGCGGTGCACATTGAGTTTGGCAATCGTAAGCGAATCGCATTCACATCGTCAGCACGAACGATCCTCATTAAAAGTGAACAGTTCCACAGACGAGCTCTTCAACGCCCTGAAGCCCTTCATCTACGTGACCCATTTCGTGGGCTGTCTCATGCTCTTCTACAGCGCCGCCGTCGTAAGCCCGCACCAAACTGAAATGAAATATATATATACTCACACACACACACACACACACACACATTGTATATGTATATATACATATGTATTTGCTTTATGTATTTGTTTCTTTGCATTTGATTTGCAGCAAATTTCGCTGCTGATCTTAGTTTATCTAACGACGGACGTACTCAAATTTCTGTTCTTCGTCATCTCGGCCTATGCCTGGGCCCAAAGCTGTCAGAATACGATATTTACCATCTGCATTCAGGCTATGAACATATGCGAGTATCTGAATTGAACCATCTCTCATCTCATCTCTTATCCCTCTATCTCTCTCTCTCTCTCATCTCTCTCTATCATCTCTCTAATACTTTGCAGTGTTTAGCGTCTACTTCTGGCTAGTGGCGTACTCGTACTTCCGGCAATGTAGAGACAACCCTGTCGATATCTGAGCTCCAACACATTTTCGGATCAAGCGAACAAAATTGATTTGGATTGTCTGGCGGCACTGCGCTCGCTCGCTTTGTTCATTGAGTGGCTTCTGAGCTCAGCTGAGCCCAAGCCAAGTGAGCCGCGAAGCCGACTTGATCAATTAAGTGGCGTGCGCATCTCCACCCGTTCTCCAAAATATGTGAAAATTCACTCTCAAAGCCATATAATAAACAAAATAATTCATAAAACAAACAGCGATGATTGCATTGCTTTCTCATGAGTTCAGTTTAATATTCAGATGCTATCACAATTGATCGATCGAATAGCAAAAACTTGTCGGGCCGGCAATTTCTTGATTTTTTTTTTTTTTTTGTTGCAGCTTTGTGTCAGCTTCTGCCCTCGACTCTCTGAGACTTGTGGACTCCGGCAGCTCCATTCGGGACTTGGCTTGGTTTGACTTGGCTTCTGCTTCTGCTTCGGCTCCGGCCTCTGCTTGCTCTGCTGGCTCTGCTGCAGTGGCTGTGCCATCCTCAATCGGAGTCGTGCTCTGGGCCATGCGCTATTATGGCCAGCATGCGCATACACACAAAGTATATGAAGACATACCTAAAGCAATGCATGCTGAATTGCAAGAACGTCAGAAAGTCTTCAGACATTCTGAAACAGGGAAGCAACAAATTTTGAAATAGATTTTTACAAATGTCAACGACATCAAATATTTGAAGTTTGGCTCAGGACATCAAACAGAAAACACAAAACACAGCTAGACGAAATTTTACAAAAATTCGAATCTCAAAATAAGAACGTGTTGCAGTCGACTCGGCCATAAACGACTGCACAATGCTCGCTCACGGTTCAAGAAGAGCTGAGTCGGTTTTTGGTAGAGCTACTTCAATTTTCCCTTCTGAGATTTTTCCGATTGGCAGCTGCATCAATTGTAGAGATTAGCTATAAACTTTTCCTGAAATTTTCAGTTTTGCCACGCCTCCAGTGGGCGTAGACATATGATTTTGGGCTAATCCTTGGACGTGCAGGATAACTATAAGTTTTTATGCTCTCACCCAATATTATTTTCAATTTTCAATTACAGGGTATTTGCCAACATGTTACACCCCAAAGAGCCACGCCAATTACTTATGAATCATCTATAGTTCTATAAGAACTCGCTTATATAATTTTCAAGGTACTAGCTTTGCAACTTTAGACGATATAAACATCTGTGGTTTGCTCCGCCCCCTATAGGCGTAGATACATTCGTCTTACCTTATCTTTGATCTTAAGTTGTGAGCCCGCGCAAAGATATTAAATATCAAGTCTCAAGGGCTCGTAGTATAATAACATTTCGACACATCTTTAAAAAATATAGTACATATGATCTCTAGAGGATCTTACCAGGGCTCGAAAACTATTAGAGATAATGGTTTACCTGATCTATCATACGCCCAGTGGGCGTAGATATTATTGTAATATATTTTTGATTTTGAGATAGCTGCAATCGAAATGCTAGCCAGTCGTCAGGCTCTCCGAAATACTGAAAATAGAGTTTTCTGATTTGCCACGCCCCTAGTGGGCATATCAATAGAATGTGGATACCTTATCAGACGCGATATATATTTGCATTTTCAAGTTTAAAACAAAAACAATTTGTTGTTTATTATTATTTTCGCATAAAAGTTTTCTTGTTCTCCACTCAGCTATTCAAAAGAGATATCAGGTTATACGAATTTAAAGAACTTGACATTACACTAAACTAAAAATAGAACAAACAAAGAGAGTGGAAGTTGAGGCGAATGTTATAAAATGTTGGCAATTTCTTGGCAAATTTATGGCACTTGTGGGAGGAATAGACTCTTATGTTAAACTTGACTGCAGATAGCAGGACATTTAAAGAGTTTATGGCCACACACACACAGGACATGCATATGTACATGCGCTATCCTGCTTATCAGAGAGCGGCACACCTCTTCGCCTGCGAACGTTTACATAAATTCATAAAATTATTGCCCGTAATCAGCATTATGCATTTGGAAAAACCACAGCAAGAGCGAGTGGTGGTGGTGGTTGGGCTAGGGCCACATAATTACAGGAATCGTCTCAGCCCGTTCCAGTTACCAAGTTGGGTATTTCTCTTCCTCTTCCTCTTCCTCTTCCTCGTCATCTACTTCTTCTTTTTTTCGACTGATTCTGCTGCTCGCTTGATTTGCCAGCAACATTTTCCTTTTAATTATTTATATTTGGGGATTTTTAGCAGGCAGCGCACGATTCAAAGGCTTTGCAAGTTTTTACACACACACACACACACACATGCGTATGTGTGCCTGTGTGTGTATTGCTGGGGGGTGTTATTTGCATACATCAGACTGATATGTATGATGCCTGCCTGTCGACTGTCGACTGCCGACAATATCTTTTTATGCTCTTTTGCCATGTACAAACACGTACATGCATATAAGGCGCATACACACACACACACACACATGCTCATATCTCACACCCTTGAAGCCATGCCCACCCCAGCATTGCCCTGTGTTTTATTAGGCATGTTAATTAAAAGACATGAAATGAAAATAATTAAAAATATGTATAAAAAAATATATGCACACACATACACACATACATGCATACATGTACGCCTCACACACACACACACACACACACACACGTACACACTCAGGTTACGCCTTTTTAGATCAGAGCGCAACGCCGCTTGGCTTAGCTAGCTAAAGGCTAAGGCCCTAAGTACTCAACACTTTACACCTTCTAGACGCCCTTCTGGCTGCCACGCCCACCTCTCCGCAAGTTTGACTGTGCTGGAAATTTTTATCGCCTTATTAACTCATTGCTGCGGTGTCAATTTACAACAATGGCAAACAACAGCAGCGCAGCTGCTTGTAAAACAATAGCAAGCCGAGCCACCCAACCGCCCAGCCACCCCACCGCCCAACCACCCAACCACCCAATCCAGCCCAGAGCTACGCAATCAGCCAACAAAGTGCCCCACTTGCCACTCGCTCCATTGTCTGCGATTTTCGGTTGCGTAGGTGTCGAAAAAACCAAGTTCCAGCCAAGCCACCCAACCCACCCAAACCACCCAAGCCACCCAACCACCCAGCCAACGTGGACCATCTTAAGTGTTGCTAATAACGCCTACAACTAAGTAAGGCAGCTGCTGGAGAGGGGGCGGGGGCTGTGCGAGGGGCGACACTTTTAAGAAATTGCAAAGTTTTCCATCTAACAAAAGGCGCAGGGGCGTGGCGTGGAGGGGGCGTGGAGGGCGGGGTCGCACTCACCAACAACAATACTTTGATGCGATTTTGCGGATATTAGGTGTTAATTTTTCAAAGTACCTACCCACTCCCAATTAGCAGCCACTCCCTCCACTGCACACCCCTCCCCCGTCGACCCACCCGCTCTCCAGGCATTGCCATGGCTTCTGCAGCCTTTTGTAATTTTAACTGCTTTTGGTTAACACTTTTACGCATTGCCAACTGCCATGGGCGCCCACTTGGCACACGCTCGCTTTGTGGATGACATCGATATCACATGGCTGAGCATAGACGTCGCCCCGCCTCGCACCACGCCAGCCACCCCCCCCCCCCCCCCCCTTTTGGCCGCTTTCATGCATTGTTGCCAACAGGCAGCCGAGTCATCGATGGCAAAAGTTTTGGCCAAGTTTTTCCTGGCTTGCGTTTTTTATGCGCTTTAATTGCTCCCCAGGGCATGCAACAGCGCAGCCGCTCAGGAGGTTTGTCAACGGGCATTGAGTTAGTGGCAGCTCCTGCGGCTGCCAGCGCCGGCTCCTGCTCCTGCTGCTGGCACCTCCAGCTCCAGCTCCAGCTCGCTGCTGCCATTTATTGAGCATTTGAGCCTTTCATCGATGCTTTTTGGCCAAAATTATTTGGCTCATTATACCCTGAACCCATTGAAAATGGGAAATCAGGGTATAATGGTTTTGTTGAAATGTATGTAACAGGCAGAAGGAGGCGTGGCAGACCCCACAAAGTATATATATTCTTGATCAGGGNAATGTATGCTTATATGCAATTTATACAATTTCGGTTTTTGTTAAAATTTACCCCCCACCTCTAAATTCACCCCCTCACCCTCACTTTTGTAAAACGCGTATTTCAAATACTAGAGACTTGTGCTTTGGCAATTACATGCATATTCATGTTATAATCATAATCTGAAAGTTTCATGAAGATCGTACGTCCACAAAAAAAGTTATTAAACAATTAAGTTCTCATAGTAAGCGCACACTGCAGCCCATGCGTGTTTATGCGTGGGTGCTTGTATGTGTATGTGTTTGTGTATGTGTGTGTGTTTCTTGTGTAAGCTGAAAGACGCGAAAAATTATTGAAATAGCTAGCACTCCAAGGGTTCAGGGGATCTCGTAGTCGAGCAGTCTCGACTAGAGCTTTCTTACTTGTTTTAATTATTATAACCGCTAAGTACAGGCAGCAGCAGCAGGAGCAGCAGGAGCAGCAGGCGGAGCAGCAGGAGCTGGGTGTGCCACACAAATTTTAACTGTTATGTCGAGTCGAGCCATGAGCATGAATGAAAATGGAAAGAGAAATGGGCAACAGAATGAGAATGGGAATGGGCATGGGAATGGGCGGGGCAATGTGCCGGGCGTCTCGCTACATTGTTCAAGAAAGCCCATTGTCATTTTCGGAGAGAAAAGCCGAGCTCGTTGCCAAAGCTGATTAGCAAGTAGTAGGCCATTACAATATGTAGTAGCTCGGTGAGCTGAGCTCTCGTCAGTAATTGTCATTGGACTGTTTTAGAGCACACAACAGAGAGCAAAATACTCGATAGAAATTTCAGTTTTCATTTAATTTTCTTGACCAAACACCGTCAACTGCCTTTTAAATTGTTTGTCATGTAGCTTGGCGCTGCAATGTGCATATATTCCTATATTATTATCATTATCGTCGTTCTGGTGATTATCGGAATAATTTTGCTGCACGCTCTCAAGGTCGAATAGGAATGTCGCAACCCGGTGTTATCAGGTAAGTACATACATTTGCATTACGCCCTCACGATAGTCTCGTTTTATTGGCATATGCAGTTTATTGCGTGAGCTGAATATTTGCTGAATTGCAGTGTTGGTAAACGACGCATGGGAGTGCAACTACAATTGCCCAGTGCAGCAGTGCTATGTTGCATAGCGGCAGTGCTGGGCAACGATTTACAGCCGCATTTATTGTGGCCACCGACTAGTGTTGAGAAACGACTTATTTGACTTTGCTTGAGATTCTCTTGTAAAAGTGTTGGCACAACAATTGTGGACTAGAAGCAGTATTAGAAAGCGACTTAATGACTGTGAACGGAATTCACTTGCAAAAGTGTTGGAAAGGTGCCATAATGATTGCCTAGCAGCACTGTTAGGCAACACTATTAAACTGCAACTGTTGTGACCATGAAGTAGTGCTAGATAAAGACTTGTAGCGTTGTTATGAATTATAGAGTGCAATTCATTAATAGCATAGATTGATACGGTCTGATGCCAGTGTTGGTGAATAACATATAGATATAGATATTTCATCAGTTTTGGGCAACGATTTTCAGCTGTTAATATTATTATTTTTAGACTTGAATATCAAATTGTATATGATCTTTGATATGGTCTGATGTCAGTGTTGTTAAGCAGCAATGAGCTGGTATAGATATGAGCGGACAGCAGTGCTGGGCAACGACTTCAGCTGTTACCTTTGTTAATATCAAATTGTGGCTATACCAAAGAGAGGAAATCGAAAGCCTTTCATGAATTATAATAGACTGTACCTGCGAACAGTGTTAGACAGCGCCTGTCTGCTGACATAAATAATGCCTAGTATTAGGCTTTAGGCCTTAGATAAAATGCCAATCGTATCTTGTCGAAGAATCTCACTCTTTCTCCATGTATTCTCTATCTCTATCTGAATTCTCCTTGACTGAGCCACCTTAACTTCTATCAGTTTTCCATGGCTCTTCATTTATATATCCATTATATACTCAAAGATATTGTCGCATTCGACTGGCCCCAGCTTCGATGCGAGCCAGGGCCTGCCATGCAGTTCATTAAACAATTATAATTAGATGGCAACAGGAGCGGCAGCAGCTGCTACGGCTGGCTGGGCTTGCCGGTGGCGTATGAGTAATAATATTAATAAGCCGTCTTATTTGGCCGCCGCACGTAGACAATGTAAAACAACACGGCGTATGCGTAATTTTCTTGTCGTTATTATTTTACGGGCCAGCGAGCGAACAGAGCTGTCGAGAAATTATTAGTCGAATTGTTTTGTTTAATGAAAGCATTTATTTATGATGGCACGTCCGTGCCTTCTTAGACTTCGTTTTATAATGAATTTACAGAATGTATATTATATTCTTATAGCTAGAGCCGCATAGCTGTGCTGCCGGTTACGCCAGCAGCAGAGCGGCTTCGTTCATATACATATATGCTTAGGTATAAGTGTTTATATATTAGCTTAATGGTCTGGCGAGAGTCGCAGACGGAGAGGGGGTAATGTGTCCACTTGTTTACGAAACAGTCGCGCATGCAAAATATGCCGACTCAGCGGAGTTAGTGCACTGTTGAGGCCAATGCACTTGAGAGTGATCATATTACTTCTTATTTATGTATGTTTAATTGTAACAATGTATTTGTGACATTCTTTGTGTATGTAAATATATATGTCTTGAATACAGTGAACATTTAATAAAGTGGACATACTACAGAGCGCCAAGCTCCTGCTCCGAGTCCTGTTGTTGCTTGCTGTTGGAGTTGCCCTTGGTCTTATCAGCTGGCAGCTGAAGGCGTGCTCTGCCGGCAAACAGGAGTAGGGGGTGCAGGAGGAGGAGCGGCAACCCACTCGCGCAACTCGAGCAACTCGACAGCCGGCGAAACTTTTTGGGCGTCGACGTTGGCTGCGTCTTGGATTTATGCGCTTGAATTTCACACCTTATTGCGTTGTTGCTGCTGGCGGCCTTAAAACAATTAGCGACGGTATTTCATTTTATTTATTTATAGTCGACTTTCTTTTCATCAGCATCCGCCAGCCAGTGGCCCGCCAGTGGCCCGCCAGCGGCGCGAGCAACCCAAGCCGCATTCCAATTCATTCCAGCTCCGAGTGGAGTCTGGCCGCGGTTGTTGTCTTAATTGGTTGCGCTCGCTCAATGGTTTGTGTCTCGGCTGACAGTGCGTGTGAATGCATTTCGCATGGCTCGGGTTCACACACACACACTCTCTCTCTCTCTCTCTCTCTCTCTCTCTTACTCACTCGCGCTGTACCTCCCTCTCTCGGCGCTCAAGTTGCAATGGCCATTAGCTTGACTTGGCTTGGCTTGACTTGGCTTGGCTTGGCTTAAGCCCACCTGGCCGGGCGTAGCGCCTGTTGGCTGGTCTCTCGCTCGCCCATAAAACTAAAATAATAGCCGCATAACATTTTATCTACCGCAGTAATAAATATTCAGTTAATTATAGCGAGCAACAGCAGAGCGCGAGCACAATTGGGAAAGCCGGCGGGAGCCAAAGAGCGAGAAAGAGGGGAGTGTGAGAGTGAGAGGAGAAATATCATATCATAACATATGCTAAGCTAACGGGCGAGAAATGGGAAAAGCAACAACAGAGGGCGCAGGGGGAATCAGAATGTCATTCACTCTTATTGAGAAGGGTCGAGAAGAGAGGGCGTCAGATGGCGTAGAAGAGAAGAGAAAGTAGGAAAGTGAGAGGGAGAATAAGATAAATTAAATAAACTAGAAACAGAGAGAGAAGAACTGAATGACAGTGAGATTGAGATAAAGAGAGATGGAGAAAGAGATAGAGATGTATAGACAGGCACCAGAGGGTAAGAGAGAGAGAGAGAAAGAGAGAGAGCGAGAGAGAGAGACAGAGTAATCGAGTGAGGCAAAAAGAAATGTAGATATAGACAAAGAGGTAGAGAGGGGCAGAGAGAGTACGAGAGAGTGGGAGAAAGTAAAAGAGAGAGAGACAGACAGAAAGAGAACAAGACAAAGTGAGATGCTGAATGAGAGAAAGACAGAGTGAGCGAGAGACAGACAGGGAGACAGGGAGATGTAGTGAGGTAGATATAAAACTAGAGAGTATAAGGTAGAAAGCGAGGTAAAGAGATATGTGGAATAAGGTAGGAAGCAAGGTAGAGAAAACGAACGGCAGTCGAAAACAGTTAGCAAGGCCATCAGAAAATGAGAGGAGCGAATTAAATGAAGAGAAGAGGGGCAGTATCTACCAAAGAAACACCACTCTTCTGAAGATAGAGAGTATGAAAGACAACAAACTAAAAAAAAAAAGTAGCTAAAGAAAAGCAGAAAAAAACAAAAAGAGACAACGAGAGAGGAGTTCTTGGACAGTGAGAAACAAAGGGAATCCATAAAACAATATAGATTATCTCTTTGCTGTGCTACACTGAATGCGAAATAGAAATAAAGATTATTATCTTCAGCTCCAATTGGTGTAACTAAACTAGTCGCTAGCCCCTGCAGTCATTAGCTGAATAATGACTTATTTAGGTCGTTTTGCGGGTTCGGGAAATTACGAAAAATAATAGAGAGAATCACTAATTGAATGACATTCAAATGGCTGTCACATGGCTAAATTACGATTTAATCACAGTTCGGGCAGTCGAGCCGAACCGTTTGAATGGAAGAAGTATATATAA